GATAAAAAAAAAAGCTTGAGATAAACCTAAGTGACAAATTTTACCCATGTTTTAACCATGAAATAAAAGTTACATATAACTTTTCCTAATACTTCTAGTTCTAAGGGTAAGATAAAAGTTATTATTTTACTGAACAGCCTTGTGGAGAGTCAGCTTCCAGTACACGGAGAGAATAAAAAGAACTCAAAATGTTTTCTTCTGTGAAGAATTCCCGAAGAGACAATGAGGGAAAGAGTTGTTCTCTTTTCTATACCTTGGGTACTTTATCTACTTAGTCCTTTACAGTTATTACTTCTTAACGAAAGTCTGAACTACCCTAACCTCTAGCTCATCATTTTATCCCCATGGCACGTTAAGTGCTAAAAGTAAATAATCAAATTAATAAACAACAAATCAGAGGTTTTAACACTTAATGTAAACTAACTTTCATGTGTTAAATACAGAAAATGCCTTAGTTTGGGAGGGAGACTTGTCAGAGGAAGTCTCAAGGCATCCAGGGGAAGGTATGAAACTCAAAGAACGTATTTCAAATTCTTATGTCTGGTTTTTAAAAATGCTTTAACCTTTCATTCCAGTTTGTTTGCAGTTCTAGGGAAGGCACCAAGGGCGGTGTACATACTTGCTGTATAAATGCTCTACACCAACCCAACACACTCTAATATTGTCCCCCAGTTTGATAAAATCAACAAAGCCTTGCTCATTTCACAAACTACCAAATGGATGATATATGACTTTATTAAAATTTCTTCACTATTCTTTTAGACACATTTCTTTCTTGTACTTAAAGAATATTACAAACACGAAACAACACTATAGAATGCTTCTTGAGTCAATTAACCACAGTGCCTTCTTGATTTGCAAAGAAAAAACTATATATCCAAATAAACAATTGGAAAAGTTTAGTATAGTATTCATGAAACACACTTTTGTTCAATTAACAAAAAGTTAACTCCTATGGTAGAGTAAGAGTGACTGCCTACTATGCTCAAGGGCTTGGGTTCAATTCCCAGCTGTGTGTATGTGTGTGTGTGTGTGTGTGTGAGGGGGGGGAGGAACCTAAGTTGAATCATATCCAATATCACCCAAAAAGGAAACACAGCATTTCATAGAAAACCTTAACTTTCAACGTGAAAATTATTGTCAAAAAAAAAAAAATGTGTGTTACACCTACCATTCTAAAAAAGAAGATGGGTCTCCAAAACAGTCAAGGTAAAATACCATGTAAGAAAACTAAGATATTGCGATACTGAACTGATTTTCACAGGGGCTGGAGATGTAGCTCTGTGTTCAAGGTCCTGGTTTCAAAGTCTAACAGCGTAAGAAGAAAATATCTAACTGCCAAAATAGTTTAAATATACATAATTGTGTGGCAGTATTTTTCTGTCCACATGTAACCAAGCCCACTCCTGACGCTCTTAATAATGAATATACAAAGAATGGTAAAGGCATGCTGACCTGGATTAAAGAATGTAGCCTAAAGAGGACAACCAAATCAATAGTTATCTAATTACCAATACTATTGGATTCTGCTTTAAGTCAATCAGATCAATTTCTTGAAGCTAAAAAGCACATAGATCTCTAACCTTTCAATCCACAATTTATAGAAACTTCTCTAATGCCTTAACAGATTTTTGTGACCCACACTAAGAACTTCCTTCCTCTGCTCTACTTTTTATAGACTGGACAAATGTGGATCAATTACAAAAGATAAAAGAGCACAAAATGAGAAATTTAAAATTAAAGCAAAATTTCTCTGGAAGCTGCAGGTTCCCTATAATATTAATCCCAGTATGTAAAAATACTGGAAAGGGAGTACCATGCAGCAAAACTGGAACTAACAGTAAAACATTTCCGAACTCATTTTACTGAAGTCTGTATTGAAACCAAAATATTTTTCGGGAACAGTTCCATCTGGATGCAATGGTTTCCGGAAGAATCGTTTTAAATGGAGATTGAGAGAACTCGTCCATGGGTCTCCTCGATGTAGGCAAATATCTCCTAACATCCTGTTCAAACTGGGTGTGGGTTTTAGATTTAAGCAGACTGGACAATGACCGCCCCCCAACACCTGCACAAGGGCAACAAGCACAAAGACCAACCGAGGGGCACTCCACTGCCTCACACCTGAACATCTGGGAAAGTGCCCTTGCTTTCCACCTTCACAAAAGAAAAAGGAGACTGATAACAATTAAGTTTAGAAAGGCTTGCAAAAATCCTCTCGTCTCACTATTTTGGTTTTGACTTAGTATATTTCACTTCTCTTTTACTAAGCGCTGGCCCAAACTGGATTTCCATCATATGGGAAAAGTATGTACGCGTCTCCCCTACAACTTTCTCGGCATTTTATCAGCCGCCCTAGTAGTTCGCCCTTACTTTCCAGCACCCTTCAGCCTCGGCTCCACACACAGTTTGCACCTCACTTGCATTTCCAATAACGCTGGAAAGGGAGGGAGGGTGTGAGCGGGTGTATTTCTGAGTGGATAAGTGCACGCGCGCTCCCGAGCCGCTCCCCGCCCCCACCCCGATACTTTTCTTTGCTGGGAACCGAGGGAAAATTTTTAGAGGTTATTCCCACGAAGAGAAACTCGGGATCACAACAAGCTCCAGCCCAGGAGCGGCCAAAACGACGGGGAAGGAGTCCTGTGTTTGGGTGGCGCAGTGCAACTTCTCATTCCCCAGCCCGAGCCTTAGGAGACGGGAATGTGGTCGAGGACCTAGGGAGGAGCCGAGCAGATAAGGAGGAAAAAAGTGAAAGGGCCGATCCGGGGTGCAGGCAGGCAGGCGGTTAAGTTTGCAGGGCGAGATCGGGTTTCCGCGGCTCGGCGCCCCCCGCCTTCCCAGGTGGAACTCGTTAACCGCAGCCGCCCAGCCAGCCGACCCCGCCACCTTCCTTCCCCGCGCCCCCTCTGGGCCCCCGGACAAGTGAAGGTGGCGCGGGGCGCGGACGCCTGGCGGGGCCGGCGCGAGCTCGGCGAGCAGCAGCAGCAGCAGCAGCAGCAGGCCTCCGCCGACCCCGGCCCGGTCACCTGTGGAGAAAGCGGCCCCTCTCCGGCCTCTCTGCCCTTCAGCCGCCCGGCTCCCCCCCGCCGCCGCCCGGCCGGCGAGGACCCGGCCGCCCGGCCCCAGCCCCTTGAACTGGTTACAACCGGCGGCGGCGGCGGCGGGCGGGCGGGCGAGGGTCCCCGGCGGCAGGGGAGCGGCAGGCCCCGCGCAGCCGGCTCTCCAGGTCCTACCTAACAACGCCGGTCTCCTCCGTCGCCTCCTCAACGGCAGCGGCCCCGGCGGTGGCGGCGGCAGCGACATTCCTGGGGAGCGCTCCCGCCGCCGCCGCCTCCTCCACTCTCGGCTCGCCTCTCGCTGCCCGCGCGCTCCCCCCGCCCTCGCCGACACACACGCCCCGAAAGCCCGAGCCCCGCGGCTCGCGCTGCCTGGTAACCCGCCCGCCCTCCCGCCGGCGGCGGCGGCAGCAGCGGTGGCGGCCCCGACCCTCCCCCCTTCCCCCGCGCCCGCCGTCGCGCTGGGCTCAGTAATGGCGGCCACTCGGGCTCCTCGCGCTGACGGATCTCTCCCTCTCTCCCCGAACTTTACCTCAGCATCTCTCCCGGGCGCGCACCGCCGGAACGCATGCACGCACGCGCACGCGCGCGGCCGCGGAGCCACACACACCCGGCCGGGGGCGGCGCGGGCAGCACGGGGGCGCGCCTGCGTGCCCGCGCCCGCCCCAGAATCCCCCCCAACCCCCCTCCGCCCCCCAGCCCCGCGGCGCTCACCTCGGGACGCCTCCCGAACCGCGTTCCCGCTTCGGCCCCGCCCCTGCCCTCGTCTCCCGGGAACCGGGAAGGCGCGAGCCCCCGCGCCGGGAGGGAGGGTGGGAGGGAGGGAGGGAGGGGGCGCGCGTGAGAGCCAGCGAGAGAGCGCGCTGGGCCGCGTCCCCGCTCGGGCCCCCGCTCCCCATTGGCTTCCGCCCCTCCCCCCCGTCTCCGCCTCCGCCATCCATTGGTTCCCGCTCCTACTCCCTTCCTTCTCACCTTTTCCCTGCTACCCATTGGCGTGAGCGGCTCTTCTCCGCTCTCCCCTTTCTCCGCGTTCTGCTCCTCCTCCGTCCCATCCTCCACGCTTTAGGCGCCGCCGCACGCCTTGCGTGGTGGCCGAGCCTCCCCTGCCCTCTCCCCAGCCTCCGTTCCGGTGTTTGGCGGTAACTCGGAGTCCTGCAAAGGAACTTGAATGTTGTATGAGCCTTTGCGAGGCATGGCACGGGCGCCGAACGCTCCTCGGAGATTAAATCCCTCCGAGCCTTAGGGTCAAGGTCTCTGAGCACTGAGGAATGCAAAGGGGAAAGAATGTACCGGAGCTCCGAGCTCCGCTGCAGGGACTTGTCTCCGTGTGTGTGTGTGTGTGTGTGTGTCCCACTCTCAGCCAGAAGCCAGAGCTAGACGGAGGCGAGAGGAGTCCTTTCTCCTTGGGCACGACACAGAGACACAGGCCCTTGATCCTGGCCGTTCTTAGGGAAGTTGAGCGAGACGCCAAGATTTTGGTGGTTTAGGGTGGTCCCAAGGGCCCTAGCTCACAATCAGCTCAACTTCAGAAACTCTCTGCCTCCTGGCTTTCATGATAGTGCTTTAAAATGTATTCAACCTTTTTTCGAGACTTCTAGAAATATCACAAGTTTGGGAGTACGTTCAGCTTTCCATGTATTTTTCTTCTGTGCATAGAAAGTGGAGAGAATGAGCGATAGGAACCATGGCCTTTATAATAAGCTCTGAAGAAACTGTGGCTTTCCCAAGGTCACCCCAATTTTATCCGGAAATGTTACAAGAGCTGCCAGGAGATAAAAGAATGAGGGAAAAACACTAATCTGCTCCAATTCATTGGTTCTTGTAAAGGAATTTGAGGGAGAATTTCTCTTTGGGGGAAGATTTGTTTGCTGCACTGGAAACAGTTTATCATCAGTAAACGTCTGAAGATGATCTAAAATCCGAGTTCCTCTCAGGCTCCATAGGGTCTGAAGCTTGCCAATGTTGCTTTTTACTGTTAAAATGGCGTCACTGCTACCATCCAGAAGTATAGTTACACACTGTCGGGAAAGAAAACAAAACTGCCTGTTAGTGCAAATTGGTTTAGAAGATATTTGTCCCTGTATCTGTCACAATATTCTGACAAAAGAGCCGTCTGTTCCTTCCTTCGTGTCCCCACACTGTCCATATTCCTCAAAGGTAAACTTAAAATAGTTTAAGAGCAGAAAAGCTATTCCTAATTTCTCGGTAATTTTGCTCCTTTTAAAAAGGCTTGACTAAAATCTGACTCCATCCCTTGCTGCATCCGAATGTTACTAAGAACAGAAGAGGAGGTTGTGTGTGTGGATGCTTACAAACTAAGGGGAGGACCGCCAAAGAGCATCTTCTGCCACCGACCCCGACAGCGATGGAGTAACAGAGAGGTTGAGGGGGGGGGGGGAGGGAAGAACACTTGGAAGATGAGGCCCTAATCCCTTATATAGGCTTGAACTTAATGTGTTTTGTGTATGTCTTATTTTTATACGAAAAGCCCATAAACAGTGCTTGGAGCCAACTAAAAAAGATAACCTGAATAAGATATTAGTACTATAGGGTACCCATAATAGGACAATTTTGGAATTACTTTCTAAACAACCAGAAAAATCTCTAACCATGGGCATTTATCAACATATCTGCAGTCAAATAAATCAGGGCTCATAAAGAAAACATTAGCATAAGAAGGTGTAATTTTCAGCTGTAGGACATGATACTAGGGGCAAAAAGGACTTGAAATCTCATTTCTCTTAGTAAAGAACCCCCCCCCCCAATTTGGTTTTCAAGCAATAATTTTCATAGCTGGCATTTTTTGTCCTGCACCATCCATCCTGACTTATGGACATTCAAGACTTGACTCATTACTATTAATAAACTACTTACTAATTACATAAGTCACCACTGCTGTTGTCCCTATGTCACTATTTCTCTCTAAGAAATGGAGCGCGGTCTTCTGTTGCTTCAGAAATCTGAAAACGGGTATTAGAGGTCAAAGTTCTGGGACTGATAATGTCTATATTAGGTAAGGGGCATTAAAGGGTGTATGTATAATCCTGAGCTTTGAAACACTCACCCTACCCACCCAAAAGAGACAATGTTCAGAAAAATGAGGAAATGGTTCTTTAAACTCACTCGGGGTGCTATGGGGGAGCCGAAACAAATAGCACCCAACTTTCTTGCCTCTTTACTCCTTATCTGGAATTAAATGTAAGCACTTCTTCTGGTGTACTGGATAATTAAAATCACCCAGAGCTTTGTTCTTCTTTTACTTTGGGACAAAGAAAAAGGCAGAATAACATCCCAGTCAGGCATTTTAGGGTTTTAATTTAAATATTCATCTGTACAAATTTCTATCTCTTCAACTTATCCTAACAGAATATTAATATACATTGTCGTTTTTGAACCAAAGGGTAAGGCAGTCATAAAAAACGTTACCATAATTCCACCTCTGTTGGAAATGCATGAACCATGTCCTCACAGGAACTTACCCTATAGGAGCAGTTACACCCCCTGCTGGAAGTCTCTGATCATAACAGCATTGTCTTTGGTAGCCTCAACCAAGAACACACAAAAGTCAAAGGTAGGACTTTGCCACTGGTGACACAGGAACCAGGATTTTTGCCTAGCTGACACAGAGTTTCCAGAGAAGAGCCTATCTCGGAATGTTGTCTTGATTACAGACAAAATACACAGAGATGGAGAATAAGGAGAGCAATGACTGCACCAAAAGCACATCCAAGCCTATTGTCCCCTTTCCTATGGCGTTTCTCAGTTTGTGCCCAACCCTCCTGCCTATCCCCTTCTCCTCACTAGCACCCTCTGCCTCAGACAGTGAAGACTGGTGACGTGGGAATGGCATGGCAAGATGGGGCTTTCCTCCTGCAGGTGGGCAACCGATGGCATACAAACAGCCCCTGCAGCCATCTGCTGAGTTAAGACGCACGGGGCTTCCCTTGTATTTGTTTTACTGCTACCAACGATAGTTTCAACATGAAGAAAAGAGTGTTAATTACATCTTGGCTGTTAACGTAGGAAATATTTTGACAAGAGTTAAGGTAATCACGAGTATGGGGATGGAACAGAGAGAAACTACTGCATTGACCTTTCTGGCTTTTTGTTCCACTGAACCTCGTTCTGTTGACTCTCCAGAACCATATTTTCAGACTGAAATCCCAAAGATGGTATCAGAATCTAGCTTCAAAATGTCATGTTCCTGACACTCTAGTCCTAGGACATAACTGAGATTGTCAAAGTTAGCACTCTACTATAGAACAATCACTATTTACAATGAATATTTGTAATGTAGACTTCTCTTAAAGTAATAATAATTCACTTAGGTCCCACCAGCACAAATACTTTAATTAGACAAAATAAAAAGGTCTTCAAGCTATTTCCCCTGACAAAGGGAGTATTGTTAGGCCATCTGGACCCTCCATTGCGTTTTTATAAAAGATCGCAGCTTGAATTTAATCAACCCCAATAAGGTTAACCCTATAAAGCTGAAAAATAATTGAAAAGGTGACTAAGTGACAGATTCAGATTCTCTCTCTTAGATTGTCTCTTCTGTCATTCCCAAATCCTGTAAGCGAGAAGCAGAAAGCTGTATTGTGACTGTCTGGTCACCGTACATTATTATAATTTCTGAGAATTCTCTCATCCTTAGTGTAGACTAAAGTTAGGTTGTGAGCTCTTCTGGGTGGGAATTATGAATGCGTATCTGGCTCCATACAATGATAAAATGTGTGGTTATTGGTTCAAAGCTTAGTAAATATTTGCTAATATGAAACACTCTAGGTTTTATGGATTCCTGGGATTTATTACTAACAGAAGGATTTCTATTATGTTTTCAAGTACCAGCTGAGATAATTACTTTAAGGGGAAAAAAAGCATAAACGTTGATTTAGTTGTCCTTCCCAATGTACAGCCCACGCTTCTCCATATCACATCTCTCTGGTAGGTGAGATGAGACATCTGCAACAAATAACTATGGATCTGAAACATCAGGGAACGTCCTAAAGAATTGGTGCAGCATCAGAGCTTCCTCTAATCAACAATAAGATAGCTAATCACTCTGCAATTAAGGCTCTATCAGTTTTCCTTACTATAAACTACAGTAGATGGTAAATATTTGCTTTGCCTGTCCATACCTATGCATTTTGTCAAGGAAAAAAGAAAACCAAAAATATTATGATTCTTCTAGCTCAACTATTATATATTTATAAATACTCTTTTGAGACAATTTCATTATGTCTCATCCATGTTTAGCCCTGAATGCTTCTTCCTCCTTAGTACTGTTAGACAGTAAGGAATATTAATCAAATTCTTTTCATAATCAGGCTTTCTCTTCCTCCTCAGCACCACCCCGGACAGGCAGGTCGATGTCACATACTTGGTTTCTCACCCTTGTTCGTAGTGATTCAATAGGAATGGCTATTAGAGGGTTGCTTTTTAGTTTTCCCATAAAAGTATTTACATTATCAATCCTGAGATTTTTATTAACATGACAAAATAAAAGTGATAAAGTAAAAAATAAATTTGAAACATTTCATGTGCTCCTTAAGTAAAATAAGTCAAATTCTTCCAAGATTGAATTTAAATGGAGTTCAGTGTCGTTGTCATCATCTTCTTCATCTTCCCTGCAGTGCTGAGGATGGAATCCAAAGACTCACAACCCTAGGCAAGTGCACTATCATTTATCCACACACCTAGCCCTGTAAACAAATATTTAAAGTTATATTTTAGAATTATATATTCACTAAGAAAAACACCAGTGTTTTATGCAGAGTGAAGTCTCACTAAAAAGCAATAACACCATAATAGTTTGTGGAGAAAGAAAATGTTCACAAACAAGATGGCAACATTATTGCCCAATATGATACTATTTAATCTGCACTGTGGAATGGTAGTTTCCTTCTTTCCTTCACTTGTCTTGTCTTTCTATGCCTTTAGTCACCTGCTAGGTATTCTTTCCACTTTCTTTTTTTTTTAAACTTTTTTTTTATTTAACTTTATTATGTTCATTGGTGTGAAGGTGTCAGATCTCATGGAACTGCATTTTCAGACAGTTGTGAGCTGCCATGTGGGTGCTGGGAATCGAACCCGGGTCCTCTGGAAGAGCAGTCAGTGCTCTTAACCGCTGAGCCATCTCTCCAGCCCCTCTTTCCACTTTCTGTCTTCTAGCTTTTCGCTTTCCCATCTCTCTCTTTGTCTCTTACAGGCTGGCCACTTTGGGCATTGTCTGGTTCTGTTTATGGTAACTTCTGACAAAAGGAAACAGCGGTAATAAGTACATTATTGCCACACGGTGATTCTAGGTAACATTGCTTTGATGGCTTTTTAAAGTTTCCGTGGAATGAACTATGACTGAAGAACATACTTGTATTTGAGGACTCAACTTTTAAATTCTGAAGTCTACCAGTCAGTAGTATCAGCCAACGCAGAAGATGTCGTTCAATTGGTAAAGCCCTTGTCTAGTATGCATGAGGTTCAATCCCTAACCCCACATAAGCCAATGTGGCAATCTGTGTCTGTGATCCTAGCACCTGGGAGGCACAGACAAGTGGATCAGGAGTTCAACATTATCCTCAGGTACACAGTGAGTTTAAGGCCAGTCTGGGCCACATGAGACCCTGTTTCAAACATACTGGAGACGGCCTCATCAAACATCTAATAGATATTTGTAAAAGTAGCATTTTCACAAATGCTGACAAAGCAAGCAGATACTTCCAGGAATTCCCATCTCTCTCTTTTGGAAAGGAAGGTTCACTATAGAATATATTTCATTTAGATGGTCTCCATGTAGGCTTGTCACACACGGCTTACTTTTGCATGCCACCATCCCAGGTCAATAAGGGCTGCTTCTCTAAGCGGAGGCTATTGTTCTGCAGCTCTTCTCTGCCTCTGCATGCTCCTGAACGCAGCACCAGTTTAAGGAAAGGAAGACGAGGGCTGGAGAGATGGTTCAGCTGTTAAAGGCTAGGCTCACAACCAAAAATATAAGAAAAAGAAGATGAGCCGGGCAGTGGTAGCGTATGCCTTTAATCCCAGCACTCGGGAGCCTGAGGCAGGCAGATCTCTGTGAGTTCGAGGCCTGGTATAAGAATTAGTTCCAGGACAGGCTTCAAAGCTACAGAAACCCTGTCTTGAAAAGCAAAACAAACAAAAAAAAAGAAGGAAGGAAGGAAAGAAAGAAAAAAAGAAAAAGAAAGAAAAAAAGAAAGAAAGAAAGATCTTACTACAGTGCAAAGGAATTATACAAATCTGTCATGAAAGACTACTGAACTGGGAAAGCAGAAGACCTCAGATAAAAAAGTCGAATTTTATCTCAAGCTATGTTTGCTGTTAGGATCTTCAGAGGTCTTTGGAAGCAATCCTTTCTCCACTCTGGTGTTATTTGGTGAAGTTGTCTTGTGCAGTGAACCCACAGACCGGGCTTCAATTCTTCCTGGTTTACTGTGAATGTGACTCTCAGCCACACCCCGCCACACCCGGGACAAAGCTGTGGCTCCTGGCTTTGGCTTCCCTTTCAGTTTTGTTCTTAGTACACTCCCTCTCCACAAAGATAAAGAACTAACCAAAAGAAACAAATTATAACAGCAGTGACACACCGACCTTCCACTTCCTCCCCTTCACTCCAGGTGAACGGCTGCTCAGTCAACCTCGGTTCTAAAAGACGCGAGGTGGCTTCTGGAATCCCAGCACTCGGGAGGGTAAGGAGTGAGTGCTACACATTCAAAGTCAGTCTGCACCACTGAGTGGGTGCCAGGCCACCCTGAACTCCAGGGTGGAACCCTATCTCAAAACACAACCCAAGCAGCTGGGCGGTGGTGGCACACGCCTTTAATCCCAGCACTCGGGAGGCAGAGGTAGGCTCTGTGAGTGAGTTCGAGGTTAACCTGGTCCACAAGAGCTAGTTCCAGGACAGGTCCCAAAGAAACCCTCTCTTAGGAAAACACACACACACACACACACACACACACATAAGCAAATCATAACCAACCCCTGTTCCTAAACTCCATGTCTTTAGGTTTGGATTTCTAGACCTTTCTGAACAAGCTTTGCCTATTCATGTTGTAAGATCTACTGATTTGTACCTTCATTCCCCCAAAATTACCTTTTATTTTCTAAGATCATGGGTCTTCAAACTTCCCAAATTCATTCATTACTCTGCCTCCAAGCAATATAGCTGAGTAGCCCATTCTGGGTCCCAATAACCACATTAGTAATCTATTCAAGCTACATGTTTCCATTTTTGCCCATTTGTGATAAGTTTCATTTCCATTCTTACATCCAGATAACCACGTGTTGTAAGGAGGGCCACTTGTTCGTTTCCATCTGCTCATCCCCAAAATAATCACAAAAACTATATCACAGCATATCACAGCATACAGAGAAAAATCCCACATCAACCACTAATGCACTTTCCCCCAGATATTTCCTTATTCTGGACATGTCATGTAAGCAGCATAAAACCATATGTGATCTTAAGGACGTGTCTCCTACTTAGCTTGATACTTTTGAGATTCATGCATGTTTTTAGCATGCTTCAGTAGTTCCTTCCCATTACTGAGTAGCATTCCACTGTGTGACCTTACTCCAGTCTCTCTGTTCACTCGCCAGCTAACTAATATTTAAATAGTTTCCATCATTTGCCCTCTGTGGGCAATAGCACTAAGAATGATAACATACAAATATGTGTATGGATATACATTTTAATTTTTCTTAAATGGGCAGAGTTGATAGGTTTTTATGGTAAGCCTTTATGTTTAACCTTACAAGAAAATCTCAAACATATTCTAAAGGATTATTTTATACTTCTACCCACAATGTGTGAACGTTATAGCTGTTCCCCACGCTGGTCAACACTTGTGATTATACACCTATAGGCCTTTATTAAAGACTTTCTAATAGGTGCAAAGTCGTATTTCATTACTGTTTGACCCTGAATGTCTATTGATAAGTAAATGATGCAGAGTATCTTTTAATGTGTTTATTAGTCACTGGTATCTCTTTAATGCATTTCTTCCGTATTTTGCCCATTTTTAAACCGGCTTGTTGTTTGATCATTGAGGTGGAACCTCTTTAGAGCTTACACTGTCTGTCATGCTGACTTTTTGAAGCAAAGCCTTAAAAGTTTGTTTAATACAGTGATAAAGTTAGGTTTCCATTTTTCCCGGTAATGCTTCCTACACAGTTCACTCCCATGTATAAGTGTCCAGTGCTTTTCTTCTAAGCAACATTCTAGACTTGTAAAAGACGGAACATCGCTGAGTGATGCCTCTGTCTCTAGGGCACTCTTAGAGTTAGTCTTCCTCAACAGGGCTTGGTTAGCCAGACTTTCTTCTGTTACTCTTCCTTGCTCGAATAGGATAGCTGTGTGTTACTCATTCTGTTTGGCTCTTTGTTTATCTGTTTGTAGGAATAGTAATAGTCGTTCTATCAGAGAGTCTCAGGGAAGGGCTAACATATGTGAACATGCATCTGGGTCCACTTACTCTTGGGAGCCTCATCGCAATATCATAGCTGTGAGCAGGGTTTCTGAGGCATGGGGTCAGAAACAAGTGGACTGCAGCCGATCTCGTTGGTACCCGAGTCACAGCCAGTGCCTTCGAAAGGTGCTGAGCTCTTGTAAGCCAAGCACACTTTTCGAGTGGTTCAGTGTGATCTTTTCAGTTGCTACAGCCATACCTTTGAATATTTTACAGAACAAGGCAATGTCTTGGCTCCAAAGAAACCATATGCCACCGTGGTTTAGAGATGAGAAAGAAAATAGGTTACTGCAGTTTGGCTATTCACTTCTGATTTCCTGTGTGTACATCTTCAGTATGGCCTGCGGGTTCGTGTTATTTTGGTACACATCCCAAGTGTCATACCAATTTTGATAAAGGAGTTCTGGTTTTGACAGTGTTCTGTGGATCTGCCTTGCAATGGGACGGGCTGCTGACAGTTCTTGTAACTTACATAAGGGTAAAACTCCTAACTCTCCCGATCATCTCATTAGTCAACTCGTGATGCAACTCTGGATGCTGCCACAACCTGCCCTTCAGGTAAACATTTTAAGCAAAATCATCCCCATAATAAATATTTGCAAAAGTATTCTCAACAGTTGTTTCAGCATAGAACCCAGACTCTTTTTTTGTTTGTTTTTTTGTTTGTTTGTTTGTTTTGTTTTGTTTTTCGAGACAGGGTTTCTTTGTAGCTTTGAAGCCTGTCCTAGAACTAGCTCTTGTAGACCAGGCTGGCCTCGAACTCACAGAGATCTGCCTGCCTCTGCCTCCCAAGTGCTGGGATTAAAGGCATGCGCTACCACCACCCAGCAGAACCCAACTTCTTAAGCTATAGGGAGGGTCCAACCCCAAATGAAGTCATGAAACTTAATGTCAGGGTCATGAAACTGTGGCAGCCATACCAAAATGTCTGAATATACAATGACCAAAAAGTTAATTCAAGCATCCACTGAAGCTGTTTGTGGCAGTGCTCCCCCATGCAGAATCGCATGACTTCATTGCAGTCCAGGTCCTAACACAACTTGTCACCTCACAAGGCACATGTTCTCGTGCCAAACAACGCCTCCACTCAACCTCCAGACCACAGCATGACATGAATGGCCATGTTTTCACTGCATGCAACAAAGTATTTTGCTTTTATAGAAACATAATAATTTCATTACAGGAAACGACTTATAATGTTTTCCAACCCTCATTCTTCAGCAGGTGAATATCAAATCAGTTTATCTTTGGATTATCTTGTGTTATGCTTAATTTAAAAATTGCTGTTGGCATTCCACGAAAAGATCATTAAATTAATCTTTGGCTTGCGAGTAAGGACAGAATCTCCAACCATTCCTGAAGTGACCCTAAACATTTTACACTGTGTAATTATGCAATGCAGAATTCTTGGCATTGATTATTATAAAATCAAAATATCGATCAACTTTAAATAGCATTGAAGATATTCTGTGTCCTGAAGTATTGAATATTCAGTCAAGACTTAATTAAGCTGGCAGACCCAGCTCATTAGCATACACATTTGTTTACCCTTAATAAAATTATATGTATATCAAGGAACTATAAAATACATTTCTTTATGATTTATAAATAAATGTTTGACTCACATACCTATTTTATAAACCTGTATATACTCTAGCTGTGTGAAATTTTCCCTGGCAAAGGGGGTTGTAAATCAAAGCAGGTCCTGAAGTCTCAGCTCTGAATAGTGTACTGTCACAGGGAATACACTGTAACTTATGAAAAGGAAGTGTTCTCATTTGAAAATGTAAAGAATACACAATGCGCAAACACTTCACGAATAGTGACAATCTAGAGATCCAGAACGCCTCCTCATCTCCTTGTTATTTCTACCAAATTGACCCAACTCTTATTTAAGTTCCTCTGTTCTGGAGTTTTTGTTTTGTTTTGCTAGAGATGTTTATTTTATGTGTATGAGAGTGTTTTGCCTGCATGGCTGTGCACCATGTGTGTGCCTGATGCCCACAGAGGTCAGAAGAGGGTATCAGAGACCCTGGATCTTAACTAGAGTTAAAGATGGTTGTGAGCCATTATGTGGGTGCTGGGATTGGAACACAGGTCCTCTGCAAGAGGAACAGCTGCTATAACCTCTGAGCCATCTCTCCATCCCTGTGGTTTATTGTTTTTGTTTACTTTGGTTGAGAACTCTGGGTTCTCACGTTTTTATTTTTGCTTGTTTGTTTGCCATGAGACAGGTTACTTACCATCCTGTTTGCCTTGAGACAGGCAGGCTACCATTCCATAGCTGAGGGTAACCTGAAACACAAGTTCTTCCTGCTCGGGCTGCTGAGTGTTGGAACTGCAGGCTGCATCAATGCCCAGCAGGTTGGAGCTCTGACTACTGAAAAGAGAAATGTATTACTTCTCTAGGTTAATAAGTTCTAGTTAATCTTTAATTACTGAAATAATGCTCTACTTAGGGTTTTGTATATTCCGAAAATTCAATTATGACTTTAAATTTGTATAAAATTTACATAAAAAAATAAAAATATGAATAAGTAAATAACCTGAAGGAAAATAAATGAAAACATTAACAGTGGCGATGTCTGGCTGTAAAATGATGTACTCACCTTTTGTATCTTACACATACATATCACATATCTTTAAACTTCTTAGACTTGAGAAAACAGGAGCTATTTTGTAACACTGCACATGCTAATCACATCTGCCTCTTTTCAACATCCTTTATTGTATTTATTGAGACATTATATCATCACAAGTTTTGAGTCTTGCGTAAACTTTTTCTTTGAAGCACTATTCTGAGTCATCTTCTCCTTGAAGAACTATCACTCCATACCCACTGCCTGGGATAGGAAAAAGGAGAGGCACGATTCCTGCCTGCACGTTCCTTTTCTTGTTTTAGGACTAGTAAGATGGAGAGCTATAGATTGTGGCTTTTGGTGAGGAACAAATAGACCTTTCAATTTCTGTCACACTATAATGGTTTCATCATTTATGATTTCTCGTTTTAAACACAACGAGCATAGCAAGATCTCTTGGAGAACGAAAAATGTGAGGGTTGGTAATTTTTCCTCCGCCGAACTGACCACTGATGCACTCACATAGCTCCACGCTGAGGGTGCTTTCAGAGCTCATGGCTCGAATGCCAAGGCCCTCTGAAGGAACCCTGTTGTTTCCTCTTCTATTGTCAGAGTCGTAGTCTCGTGGTTTTGATTTTTGGCAGTGTTCAAGTTAGGGCCATGCCACCAAGAGGCATGGAGGCCACTCTGAGGCTGTCTGGTCTTGTTTTAACTGGCGTATGACTGTTTTTATTTGGGTTTTTGTGGAATTTGGAAGCCTGCAACTCATCCAGAATAAGGGCATTCCACAGATTCCATTTCCTGACAGCCACCCCTCTTTCATAGACTGTTTCAGTTTCCTTCAGGGCGGGCCAGGGAAAGTGATGGGGGAGAAGTCTCAAGATAAGCAGGACACAGAACTCTCACCCAGCCAGTCCTTCTGGGTGTGTGAGCAATATCAGCCACAGAGTTACAGCGGTAAGGAGAATAGAAATCATAGTCTATTTAAACAGCTAAAATGTCAGGTCTATTAAAGGAACTCGCATGTATAAATGCCCAGAATTGAAAAATGACATTTATCCATGTACTAGATGATCTAATACAAATAACATTCACACTTCTTCAGCGACATATGCTGTCTCACATTGTTTAAATAAAAACCAGGTTTTGTGCGTGGTCAAATTTTTTAGCCTAAAAATGTCGATTTTTTTTTTTCCTTTAAAGCAAAAAATTTATTTGGAACCCAAATACTGTTGTTGTTGCAGCTTTAATTTCTTGAAACGGTCTTATGTAGTCCAGGCTGTGCTCCAACTTGCTAGTAATTTAGGACTACTCGGAGTACTGATCCTGTGCCTGCATCTGGTGAACGCTGGGACTAACAGGCTTGTGCCACCAGGCCCAATGGAACAGAAACACCAGCAAAGAGAAATAGAGAGATACGTTTTCCACATATTGGCGCTCTCTCATGCTCAAGCTCTCTCTTTCTCTCTCTCTCTCTGAGCTAAGACAGTATCTCTCTACATAGTCCTGGCTATTCTAGAACTCTCTACATCAGGGGTTCTCAACATGTGGGTCTCGACCTCTTTGGGGGTTAAACAACCCTTTCACTGGGGTCTCCTAGGACTGTCGGAATACACGGATATTTACATTACGATTCATAATTCATAGCAGTAGCAAAATTACAGTTACATGGTAGCAATGAAAATAATTTTATGGTTGGGGGCTCACCACAACATGAAGGTTCGCAGCATTAGGAGGGGGTTGAGAACCTCTGCTCTATGATCTGGTGATTGGCTCAAACTCACAGAGTTTTATAGTTTTACTTGCCTCAGTTTCCCTACATCCCCATGTGCTGGGATTAAAAGCTTGTGCCACCACTCCCGGCCCAGGGTCAGTCTCTTTTGAATGGAGATAGGGGACATCCTCCTAGGCGAATATCAAACCCACAGAGGAAACTCAAGCCCTTCCGCTGTCTAAATGGTTTGCTGAAGGGCAACGAGGTTGTAGTCTATTCTCTGCCACGCCCTTACTTTCTGTGACTGGTGGCGGGACACTCTGTGCTGCTGTCCCCTCACTGAGGGTAATTTAATGGGACCACGTGAGCACACTAATCTGGGGGAATAAGCCCCACAGGGCTGAAGTGAAATGGATGCTTTTACCCGAAAAGGAAAGCATTTTTTTAAGCCCACAAAGGACACAGTGAGGAATGAGCACAGGAAGATGAGCTTGCAGTGCTGTAAAGAAGGAGGAGTATCCTGACAGTGTGGAATCTTAAGATTCCGCTGGGGTTTGTGGGCTTTGGTTGGGTGTTTAAAAACCAGGGCGCTAGTGACATTGAGCTGCTTCATACTTGTTGATAAGGTGTACATCTTTTGAACAATATCTTAGGTCACATGCCCACTTGTCAACTAGATTATTTGCAATTGCATTGTTTGAGTTTCTTATTCATCCTGCACTTGGCCAATATTGTCCCCCATCCTTTGCTTTGCTGACTGTTTTCTTTGCTATGCAAAATATTTTTAGTCTGATGTGATTCAGATGAGTTTCATATCCTACAGTTAAGTTTCTAATCTATTTTGAGTTGTTTTTTGTTTTGGCTTGTTTTGAAATATGGTGAGAGATATGTCTAGCTTTATTCTTCTGCTCACAGACCCGGTTTTGCCAGAACTATTTCTGTAGGAGACTATCTCTTTCCTCAATGCATGGCTGCAGCCGCTTTATCATAGGCCAGCTCATTACAGATTTGTAGGTTTCCTTCTAGGCACTCTATTTTCTTTCTTGGATCTATGGATATCTGTTTTTATGCAAACACCATGCTACTTTGATCACTACAGCTTTTAATATGTTTGAGGTTAGGTAGTATCATGCCTTCTGCTTGGCTCTTTTACTAAAAATGACTTTTGTTACTTGGGATTCGTCACTGTTGTTACAAAAGTACTGTAGAACATGCGCATCAATGAGACACCACCTTATGCTTGTTAAAAAGACTGTCTTCCAAAAGACGGAAGTCAGAAGTGTTGGCAAGGACGTAGGGAAGGGGAGGGAGCCCTTTCCACTCTTGGTGGAAAGCGACTGGCACACCCATATGGAAAACAGTATGACGTTCCTTCCAAAAATTAAGAATACAGCTATTATATAATACACAACACCTCTACTAGTTATAAATTCAAATGAAATGAACTCGACCTGTTGAGAAGATAGCCTCATATTTATGTTTACTGCAGCATCATTCAAAGGAGCCAAGAAACAGAAATCCCTGACCACCAACTGAAAGAAGGACCATGAAGCAAATGAGAAGTCGAATACTATTCGGCCATTGAAAGGATGAAATCCATTTCATTTTAATAACATGAATAGAACTGGAGATTGTCATGTGAAGAGAAATTAGACACAGAAAGGCAAATACTGTGTGAACTCGGTCACCACTCCTAGGATCTGAAAGAGTGGATCACAGAGAAGGTGACAAACAGTGGTTACCAGAGGCTCGGAGAACAGAGCGGAGAGAATGACAGGGAGACACTGGTCAATAAATGTTGTTATATGGGAGATAAGGAATCTGGCATTCTACTGCATAGTGGCTGTAGCTTTGATAAGTACTAGATGTATCTGAAAAGTTAAAAGAATAGATTTGGCCACAGTTTCATCACAGAGGAATGATAAACATTTTAGGAGATAAATTACCTTGATTAGAAGATTGCATACGAATAAAACCTTGTGTGACAGTCCGTTAATATGTAGCTCTTTTTATATGTTAACTAAAATTAAAATGTCGAGCGCTGCTGACTGAATCAAGATGAAAGCCTAAGTGTATGTCCCTATGACACTTCTGTCAAGGGAAGAATCTCCACTAAAATCAACGCGTCTTCTGCATGTACCTTTAAAAGCCGAGGTTGTCTGCTGCTTAGAAAACCCGCATGGTGGCCAGTCCTCTTGTGAACACTGCAAGAGTGAAGGCCTCTGTTCCGGGGTGGCTTGTGATGTCTGCATCCACATGGCCAGTCTCTGGTCCCATAATTAATTATAACCTTAATGTGAATTCATGAGCTGAAATCATTATGCCTTTCCAATACTTGTAATATATTGAGTTATCCAATGTTTTAATAATCAGTGCCATAGTTGCTGACATTTTCATATGCACTTCAGAAACACAATGGTTGCCATACAGTATTTTTAAAAATGTTGACAAATAGAAACAAAACAATGACAAAGCATGGCTTTCTTACCATTTGAAAACAATGAGTTCTGGGGATCCACTCCGGGTCCCCATGCTCTCATGATCAACGTTTTATCAACTGAGATCCTCTCCAGCCCCAGCCTGTCTATCTTTAATGCTTCATATTGAGCTTAGTCAATCAGTGCCTGTATGTCTTTGGGCTGAATAACAGAAATACTCACAATGAAATGCTTTATAAACATTGGGGTCTGTTGAAAAGGTCACATATTAAGTTAGAAATGGAGTTCAGAACCATGTTGTCACTAGAAATGATTCCTAGGAACACAGGGTAGATGACCCAGAGACCTAGGACAGAACCAAACATGACTGGAGAAAAAAATGTCAATATAACGATGCCTAATGATGTTCTGCTCTACCCACAGATTGGTGCCTAGCACAAGTGTCACCAGAGAAGCTCCATCAACTGATGAAAACAGATGCAGAATCAAGCCTTAGCCAGAGCTGGGGGGATCCTGTAGAAGAGAGGAAGGAATGTAGGAGCCAGAGGGGTCAAGGACACCACAAGAAAACTCACAGAATCAACTAACCTGGGCTCAAAGGGGTTCACAGAGACTGAACCGACAGCCAGGGAGTGACCTAGGCCCTCTG